CTCCCTCCCTCCCTCCCCATATATAACATACATCTCTATCTCCATGTCTCTGTGTATCTAAGACCTGCGCCAGCGCCGTCTCACCACCCTCACCTTAAGTTCAAATCACCAAAACCCCTTATTTTTTTCGCTATTAAAAGGCAAAAAAAAACCAAAGCATGGTGAGAGTCACCTCTCCTGGTCCTCCATCCCCTCCCCGGCGCCGCCGCTGCCCTCCTTGGACAGCATGTCCAGGCGCTGGTTGATTTTGGCGATGATGGAGTCGGAGTTCTCGGGGGCGGAGGAGTCGGGGCCGTAGGAGGGGACGGGCAGGGGGGCCCCCACCTCCGGGGTCAGGCCCAGCTCCGAGGATTTGGGGGGGTCCCAGCCCCCGGAGCTGCCGGCCGCGTAGTTGTAGGTGGCCGCCGTGTTGGCGGCGGTGGTTTGGGTGTTGTAGTAGTCGTAGCCTTCATAGCCTGGGGGGGGAAAGGGAAATGAACTCATTGTAATACATTCATATTTATTAACACATTTAATACATTAAGATTCTAACGAGGGGGGAGAGTTTTGATGGGGAGGGAGGAGGCTGCAGCTGGGTTTTAGCGCGATTTTACCTCCTCTGGGGCGATTTGGTCGCTTCAAGGGAGAAAAAGCAAAAGATTCTTGTGGCCTGACCATAAAAACATCAGGGTATCCCCCCTTCGGGGTGTTTTAACCCAAGAAACGGAGGGTTGTCATTTTTGTGACATTTTTGGTGAGGTTATTTTGTGGAATTTTTTTTGTGTGTGATTTTTTGCAATTTTTTTGGTGAATTTTTTGCATTTTTTTGCCTTTTCCCTTTTCTTTTTTTGCATTATTCTGCCTTTTCTTTCCCTTTTTCTGCCCTTTTTTTTTTTTTGCCTTTTTCTGCCCTTTTTTTCTGCCTTTTCTTTTTTTGCCCTTTTTTTTGCCTTTTCCTGCCCTTTTTTCTGCCTTTTCTTTGCCTTTTCTATGCCCCTTTTATGCCTTTTTTGCTTCTTTTTTTGCCCTTTTTTCCCACCTTTTTTTCTTGTCTCTTTTTTTTTTTGCCATTTTTTGCCTTTTGGGGGGGGCTTTTTTTTTTGTGGATTTTCAGTAAAATTCATGATTTCTAAACAAGACCCCGACCCAGGGATGTCGCAGGGTCCCACAAAACACCCAGAGAAAACCCAGCACGTTTTAATACATAAATATATGTATATAAAAAATACATATAATAATAAAATAATTGTCATTATTTCCATCAAAAAAGGGCCATAATGAAATTTAATTAATTAGAAAATCAACGCAGTTAATTGTATTCAAAGAGCACCTTGTGGCAAAGGACCTTTCTGCCCTGGGGCCTTCACAGGGCGCCCAGGTTTTACCAAAAAGAGGAAAAATAAAGGGAACAAAATAATCCATTTACAGCAATGACTTGAGCCGGGAGGTTTGAATCCAAACGTTCAATTTCACACCGTAAGGACCAAAGAAATAATACTTTACAACAGAATCTCAGGCTTTTGTTTTTGGGAATGCGCTAAAACCGGCTTAAAACAATCCAAATCGGGAACAATTAATTAATTGCTCTGAGGAAAAGAGTTTATTAGAGAAAGCAAATTGGGCTTTATTAAAGATGCGACAGTTTTGGGGATAGAGAACTGTATTTATGTGTCATCGCTGCCAAAAATAGAAGGGCAAACCTTGGGTTTTGAGTGAAAAATGATATAATCTCAGTAACATCAATTTATTTACACACATTGGGCTCTCCCAGATCAAACAAGAAGCAGAAAATGTAAAATAAGGGGCTTTTTTAGCACATACCTTGCCAGCTCGTGGCGTTGGTGGCGTATGTACCTGAGCAGGGAGGAAAAAAAGAGTTTCAGCCCTAAAAACCGACAGAATTCAACATCCAGAGAGTAAATATATAGAGTTTAGTTAGTAAAAAGGATGCATAGAAAGGGGAAAAACAGAAGAGCTAATTATGGAAATAAAATGGAGAATATATATTATTTTATACATTTTTTGGCATTTTTTTCATCTATTTGCCCTTGAAAACAACTCAAACGATGCCATAAACCCCCTCAAGGAGCAGTAAAACCGCGGCAAAAGCAAATATTTTTGTTAAAACTATCACTTTTGAGGAGAATCCTCCTGATTTTACTGTTTAGGCTGGAAAGGAGTTGGAATCACAGAGGAAGCTTTTATCAAAAACACACATAGAAAAATAGCTTAAAATGGCAGAGGAAAATAAAGGCTGGAGAAGCCGTTTCTATATTGATTTTTGGGGGGCTAAAAATAAGGAAAAAAACCCCAGTTTTATTCTAAAATTGTAATTTCTCAGATTATTTTTAGCTACAGAAAACTCACCTTGAGCATTGGTGGCCCCAGTGTTCCAAGTGCCATAACCTGCAAAAAAAAAAAAAAAACAAAAAGAGCTATTAATGGAACCAGGTTTGCTTTTTCTCCTTTAATTAACCTAAAAAAAAAAAAAATAAAAAAAGTAAAGTCTTTAATTAATTTCCCTTTTTATTATTTGAGAAACCTGCCCGGAGCAGGAGCTGAAAGATCTCTTCCAACCAAACCTATTCTAAGCTCTCCTGGTGCTTTATTTTGAATTATTTCAGCCAAAAAAAAAAACCGAGATGTTTTGAATTAATAAAAAAATCATTGTGTTTTGGTAAATAAACTTGTTTGGGTAAATAAATTCCCCTTTTCCAGGGTTTCCAGGGTGAAATCACAGCCCCGGCACCGCAGCAACCACCTTATCCACCGGGATAAACAAGCTCCATGTTAGAAAAAAACCTTGAAAGCATCAAAATTCAATTTTTAATTCAAAAAGCAACGCGTTAAAAACATTTCCCAGCCTCTTGGCTTCCAATTCTCCACAGGAAAACAAGTTTTTAACCTTTTTTTATTATTCCAATGGGAAAAATAATTGGTTCGTAAGCGGAACTACTGACACCCGGCTTCCTACGGATGCAAATTGGTTCAAAACCCACTGTTTTACCCCAAAATTCTCTTCTGGCCTTGGTTTTCCCCCCTCCCAAATCCTCGATCCCCACTTTCACGAAGTTTTTCTATTTCTGGAATCAGCCCCCAAGTTTTGAAAAATGTTTATTTTTTTTAGAAACAGCCCCCGATTCTGCAAAAACTTTTCTCTTTGGGAGGTGGCTCCTGAGTTTGTCAAATATTTCTCTTTTCTTGAGATAACCCCCAAGTTTGCAAAGATTTAATATATTTTTGGAGATTTAATATATTTTGCCAAAGCTTCCTATTTTTGGAGAAGGCCCCCGATTTTGCCAAACTTCGCTATTTTTGGATGGAGCCCCAATTTTGCAAAGATTTTCTATTTTTGGCGGCAGCCCCCAATTTTCCCAAACTCTCCTACTTTTCCTCGGCAGCCCCAAATTTTGAAAAACTTCCATTTTTTGGCAGCAGCCCCCAATTTTCCAAAACCTCTTCCTTTTTTGGCAACAACCCCCAATTTGGGCCAAATGTTTCCTTTTTGAGACGGCCCCCAATTTTACAAATCCTTTCTCCCGCCGCCCCCCAGCACAGAGCCCTCGTCCCCCCAACCAGGGAGACCTCTAAAAAACTTCTTTTTTTTTTCACAGGCAACCACTTTAAAGAAACAAAACCTCAAGAAATTGGGGGGGAAATGGTCCTTTCCTTGTTGTATTTTCAAACTCCTACGGAAACCGCAGCAAAACAGGAACCGTCAGACGCCAAACGCCTTCGAAATCACAGCTTTTTTACCCAATTTGTTCCTTCCCCACCATCAGAGGGTTTTTTTGGGTGGAATCTCTCGCTTTTTAGCCCCATTTTCCAGCAGGATGGAGTTTTTCTGTTGTCGGTGGGAAGAATCGGGTCCAGACAAAATTGAGGGAAAATTAAGGATAAACCTGGGATCCAATGGCAGAATTTTTCAGCCAAGGAGAGTCCCAAATTCTCTATCCCTCCAGATTCCACAGGATAAAATTCCCTTCTTTTAAATTCCACGTGTAGATGTTGGCGTCCAAGATTTAAAATTCATTTGAAATCCATTTAACTTGGTTAAATTCATATAGGTATTACCACAATTACCATATTATTTTGAGGAATGAAGAAATTAAGCAAAGCCTTCAAGCTTTTCCAAGAGCTCAAGCTTCCGCAATCACCCGAGAAGGTGGCAATTAAAAACTTCAACATCTAATTTTGAAACGAAGTAAAGGAAAAGAAATCCCACTAAAGGAGAGGCTGGGGTATTAACGGGCGAGCAGGGCTGGGATCCTCAGTTCTGCAGCAAATCCCTCAACATCCCCCAGGATGGGAAGAGAAAATAAATCAGCAGAATAAATCACTGTCGCCGTCTCTTGGGAAAATAAATACGAAATAAAGCACAGAAAAGGAAAAAAAACAACCCAGAAGGGACCAAGTGGTGGATTTTTTCGCTCTGAGCGTGTCCTGGTTCCCAGTTTATTCCCGGAGCTGGGGGAAAAGCTTGGGAATCATTTTTTTCTTCCCAGAAGGAGGAGGAAGCGGAGCATGAATCTGGAAATAACGGAGCGATGTCGAGGGATTTCCATGAAATGCTGAGAAATGGAAGTTTCACACCCGCAGACTTTTTCTTCCCAGAAGGAGGAGGAAGCGGAGCGTGAATCTGGAAATAACGGAGCGACGTGGAGGGATTTCCGTGAAACGCTGAGAAATGGAAGTTTCACACCCGCAGACAAAAAAAAACAAAACGAAGCCAATTCCTTCCCAAAGCAAAAAGTCCAAGCTTCTCCCGCTGATTCCAACACAGGATTTTATCCAGAAAGGAGAAAATTTTAGCCGTGAAGGAGAAAATTTGTCTTCTGCCGGAATTCCAAAGTATTGAAATTAAATCTCCACTGAAAAGGATGCTCTTCCCAAAAACCCACTGGTTTTCGTCCAACCGGACGATTCTCAACACGCGGAGAATTAAAAATAAAGGTTTATAATATAAAGTGGCTAGTTATATTATACAACTCCAAAGAACTGGAAGAAAACCTTCATTTTTATATTTTATAAAGGTAAAAATTCCCCACCAAAACTTCTCCGAAGCTACAACGTGCTCCACGGTTTTCATTTCTTAAGAGTTTTGCCAGAGGAAGGAAAGATCCCAGCTCTTGGGCGGCTCGTTAAGGTCAGGATTCCAAGGAAATCCTTCTCAGGAATAACTTTCTCTGCCAAAACTCTTCTGAGTTGTTTATCCCAACTCGCTCGGGCGTCAGGAGAGAGAAAGCAGCTCTTTAAGGTGTTTTTAATCACATTTAAGGTGTTTTTATTCAATCCTGTGGCAGTTTATTACCTCATTTTTATGCCCGAAGAAAGACCAGGTGAAAACGCGGCTATATTATTTATAAAATCCTGCCGAGGTCATAATTATGTTATAAAAACCAAGGAAGGGTTTTCAAGGGAGGGTTGAAAATCACCCTCGTGGGACCTCAGCCTCCCTGGAGGTGAAAAGAAGCGAGGAGAAGCGGGAATTCAAGGAGGGAAGAGGATGGAGGGCTCCAAAGCGGCGATGGGGGAGAGGATCCGGGCTGTTGGGGCTGCTTCGGGCTCGGGGCTGGGAGCCCTGACCCCCAAACCTCATCGAAGGGCTTTAAACAACCCAAATTCATCCATTAAACTCCACTTTGGGATGCTTTCTTTCTATTTCCACCTTTATGAGCCTGGCTTCGTAGAATAAAGAGACATAACAAACGAGTTGGAAGCGGGAGAACATCTCCATGCTCAAAAACTTGACATCATTTGGTGCTTTGATGAAGGAGGAGGGTTTTTTCCCCCAAAAAATCCCTCCCCACATGCCAGAAAACAAACCTTCATGAGCCTTTACCCACGTGCTGCCCTCTCACACCCGGATAAACCTCATCGAGGGCCTTTAAACCACCCAAATTCACCTGTTAAACTCCGATTTGGGCCACTTTTCTTTCCATTCCCACCTCCGTGAACCTTGTTTTGTAGCATAGAGACATAAAACACCAGTGGGAGCTGGGAGAGCACCTCCATGTTCATGAATTTGACATCATTTGGTGCTTTGGTGAAGGAGGAGGGTTTTTTCCCCTCAAAATCCCTTCCCACATGCCAGAAAACAAACCTTCATGAGCCCCGCCCCCGCGGCGCACCGGGGGCTGCCCCGCACCTACCGCCGTATCCCTGCTCCATCGCTCCCCCTCCGCCTCCGGCCAGCGGCGCCGCACTGCCCGCCCGAGCGCCCGACCTGCGCAGGCGCACCCCCTTCCCCGCAACCCCATTGGACCGCGTCGCCGCTCCGCCCCGCCCACGACGCTCCCCCATTGGCCGCGCTCCAGGAGCCCGCCCCCCGTCGTTGCCTAGAGGCAGGACCCCTCCCTCTATTTCCACCTTTATGAGCCTGGCTTCGTAGAATAAAGAGACATAACAAACGAGTTGGAAGCGGGAGAACATCTCCATGCTCAAAAACTTGACATCATTTGGTGCTTTGATGAAGGAGGAGGGTTTTTTCCCCCAAAAAATCCCTCCCCACATGCCAGAAAACAAACCTTCATGAGCCTTTACCCACGTGCTGCCCTCTCACACCCGGATAAACCTCATCGAGGGCCTTTAAACCACCCAAATTCACCTGTTAAACTCCGATTTGGGCCACTTTTCTTTCCATTCCCACCTCCGTGAACCTTGTTTTGTAGCATAGAGACATAAAACACCAGTGGGAGCTGGGAGAGCACCTCCATGTTCATGAATTTGACATCATTTGGTGCTTTGGTGAAGGAGGAGGGTTTTTTCCCCTCAAAATCCCTTCCCACATGCCAGAAAACAAACCTTCATGAGCATTTACCCCACTGCCACCATCTCACACCCAAATAAACCCCATCGAGGGCCTTTAAACAATCAATATTGGTTAAATATTGCTCTTCATCAGCAATTTGGGCAACTTTCTTGCCATTTCCACCTCCCCAAGGCTCGTTTTGTAGTTTGAAGAGACACAACAAACCAGTAGGAACTGGGAGAACAGCTCGATGCTCAAGAACTTGACATTATTTGGTGCTTTGATGAACAAGGGGGGGTTTCCCCCAACAAATCCCTTCCCACACACAACACAACCGCGGGGGGGAGGACGGGGACACACAA